ATGTATCGTAAAAAAGTCTTGGAATATCATATTATAGTTTTTGTCATATTTCCCACCCGCTGCCTTAAGACGGTGTAGCCGGACTTTCACAAAATGTCCTGATAAGGGTTTTCAAACCTACACTGGAAGATAATGGAATCAGTAATGGGCTCTTGTGCTACAAACATTTTGGAAAGAAGGCTGTCTATCAGTGCAAGGAGGAAAATCTATTTCTTTTCTTTTTTTTTTTACCTTGAGTACATTATGATAGTAAATCAGCCACCTGAATTTTCCCAAACATGAAATTACACTGAACTCAGATTGTGGGAAATAATGCACAAATTAGCATAACACTGAGGATAAAAAAGATCATTACAGCCTTATTTATTACAGCCTTATAGCCTTATTTATTTATTTATTTATTTATTTATTTAACCTTTTTTTTTGGCAAGATGATGTATGCTCCCCTTCCAACAAGCCCAATTTACACATTTCAAATGATAGCGTATCACATGTAAATTATCATGCCAACTCGGCCTCTTGAAAGAAGGCGTGATGACTGAATCAGATCAGGCATTGTGCTTACAGAATATCATTATCCTGCACAAACTCTCATGCTGTTTTAATGTGAAGAGAAAGTGTTAGAACTGCTTATATATTTAGAATTATGCCAAGGCGCCAAGTAAGGCATGCTAGAGACTGTACACAAGAGAACAGCTGTGTTATGAGGTGGGTATAGTGAACTGCAGCTACAAAAGGGGAAAATCCAAGGTTACATGCCAAAATCTTTATGTAATTACCTAAGGGGAAGGGAGGGGCTTGTTTGGATGAATGTCCTCGGTGTTATGGATTGTGGTTTAGAAGCGTAGGTTGCACCACAATTTGTTTTCATTAGCATTATGAGAGCCATGCCTTCGTCACATTGACCATGAGAAGAATAACTAGATGCTAGCGAGCTGCCAACTCCCTGCTGGAATATCTATCAGTCTTGAGGAAGGCCGGGATACGAGGGCTTGATGTAAACAAGACCACATGCTGCTCTGCTCATAACACGCAGCGGCGAGAGACACAAACCGAGCCGCCAGCAGAAACCAGCCACTCTGCCTTCCTCACAAAGGTTTTATTTGCAGAAGTAGAGAAATATTGGAGTTTTCATCAAGTGCACTGCATCTTTCTCCCCTTCTCACTCGCTCTCTCTTTATTGCCCACAGTTAACTCGTGATTGACATCACCAGGGCCTTTTTTTTTAGCAGTAAAGGCATATGGTTCCAAACAATTAGAAGATATTATGAGATCTGATGGCAGATGCTTGAGGTTCACACTGTGCAGCAGGATGCATTTATCTTTTATAACACGATTCCCTTCTCATTAAACTTAGTCCTTTATTTCTTTCACCATCTCCTTTTTAGATCTGAATACAAAGAACATTATAAAAGGCAACCTGTGTGTCATGAATCCAGAGACAGAAAGCAAACCGAACCTTATGTGATTTGCATGAAAAGCCCACATTAAGAAAACACACACAGGGATTATGTTATGATGAGCTCTGAGAATTTAACCTTACAGTGGAGGTTTTTGTGTTGGTTTTTGGTTTGGTATTAGAAATATAATCAGACAGAACAGCAGAAATGTGTTGGCTGTAGCCTTTAATGCAGCATTACACAGTCAGCTAAGACCAAAGGGCTGTAATGGTGCTCCAGATGAGAAGTCATTGGCATTACCGTGTTGGCTAAAGCCCAGTCACACTCGATCTGATCTTTTGCCTCAGCTGCGTCCATCTGTATTGAGCTGTAACTCTGTTGCTGTGCTGGACTTATAAAACTCAGCAGTTTCTGATGTAAGACCAGAGCTCAGCACTTCTTGCCTTTTAGAGAGAATCAGTTTCATATGCAGTACCAGGCAAATGTCTGGATGCACCTGCTTGTAGTTCTTTTTTACTTTTACTGTTTTACATGGAATTATGCATCGTCTATTTTAGATTCTTCAAAGAAGGCCCTTCTTGCATTGATGCAGCTTTGCGCATTCTTGGCATCATCTAAAAGAGCTTCATGAAGAGCCACCTGGGATGCTTGAAGAAGTTCCATATGCTGAGCACTTGTTGGCTGCTGGAAACTACTTTAAACAGGAATTCCACTGTTTTTTAAAAATATCTGCATAATTCAGTCATTAAGATGTAAACGAAAGCGTTCCAAGTGGTTTGATGTGAAATGGTGTGTTATAGAGAAACTTACAGAGTCACATTTCTTTACAGTGGTGGTGTCAGGAACCAGGAGGCAATGTCCACAACAATATAGCCGTGTATGTTTATTTATAGTGAAAATATGTTTTAGGTCAATAAACAGGGAGAATCACTCAAAAGAGGCCCCAATAATTCTGTTGTAACTCCTGTTAGGGTGAAGCAATCGGAACCAAAAAAATATTCTACATACCTTGACACATGTGTAATCAATTGCATTACATGCAATACTGGAAGTGATCTCCATTTTCTGCCATACACGGCGCTCCATGTTCCTAACGTTCCTTGCCTGAACATTGCTCCAGCGCAGGGGCATCCTGGCTTGTTCGAAGCTCCATATACTGAGGAGCACATTGCATGTTGTTTCATTCAGATTGCTTTATCCTAGCGAGAGTTATTACATAATATCTGGGGCCTCTTTCGAGTGAACCTCCTGTATTTGTAACTTTTTATTGCAAAAGTTTCTTGTAAGCTTTCAGAGGCATTGAACGCTTCTGATGCCTAGTTCCTCGCTCCACCACTGTGACCAATCCTGACTCAGTAATTTTCTCTAGAATGGCAAATTTCACATAAGATCACTCTGAATTACTGTTTACACATTAGTACATTTAATTATGCAGACATGTTGAAAGAAATATGGAATTCCTGTAATGGATTTATACATATCCATGCATAAAAGTATATGTTGAAAATGTATTGCAGATGTTCTATATATGCTTTGTAATATGTGGACAACACAATCCCCTATGACAGCCCTGTGACAATTTGTTTAATTGTCATAGGGCTATGCATCAGCATCGCTCTTTATGTTAAATAAATTTCAGTTGTTCAAAGCTGCACAATGTAACATTTTTGGTGTCTGCGCACTGTTGCGAGTCACTCTGTAAAGCCTGAAATAGTCATTTAGGAGTCAGAGGTCAGATTTCACAGGAGTTTTTTGGACCGTCTTCACGTATTAACATTACACGCACAGATGCAAATAGAAGATCCAGCTCAGTGTTTAGGTCTCAAATGCAAAATCAACATTATACTGATGAAAATATGATGACAATAGTAGATAATTCACTTCCAAGTTTTGACTGAGCTCTCTTTCAATACTCTTTCAACATGCTCGCAGTAATCTGATTCATCTGCTCAAAAAAGAGGTCCGAAGCACAGCAGACATCATAAGATCATAAGACATTATGTGCAATAACATACTTTTACCAGAGAGGCCGCCAAATCCTCAAATCTTACATAGTGTAGCTTTAAACCTAAGTAATTAGATTGAAATGTATTTAAAACTATAAAAATTATTTAATCCAATGTGACCAAGCTTTTGACTTGGACTGTAATCCATAATGGTCTTTGCTGTATGTATCAAGAAGGGGATGGTCGAGAGGATTCGTTTTTTTTTCTGCCATCACTGTTACGGAGAAGGCGGCACTACCATTTAACCCGCCTCTCGCAGTCGAGTCAGCTCAGTTCATCAGAGAGGCCTAATAACTGAGGCGCAGCAATGCCCTAATGGCTTTCAAACAATGCGACTCTAATCAGAATTATGCCATCCACAGCAACGATGGAGCACGCCCAGCAGAATGCGATCATAAGCCTGTTTGTTTGACAGCGTGCTTCTCATTAGAACACTCTCCAGTGATCCTCCCCTGCCCTGGCTGAGAGCGTGTCGAAGCAGCCAGAGCAGCCATGTCACAAGAGGTCACAACACAATTATATACCGGCGACAGTAATGACCAATTTATGCCATATCCAGCGCAACATAGCGTGTTCTATGGGCTGACCCAGTGATAGAGCTGTTTATATATTCTCTGGCTTCTCATAGCTCTAACCTAGATGGGGCCGATGGGTAATGAATACGTTAAGTAGATGAGGTGTGATTTCCCTCTGTCTCTCTTCCTTTCTGGGTGCCTACTTGATCAGTTTCACTTCTGCCATGCCCTGTGAAGTTTATGAGCCGGATGCATACAGTATGATTTATTTATCTCCCAGGTGTTGCCTTTCTATCACTGATTTACTGTATGTGCCACAGCTGTCGCGGCTGATGCAGTCCCTGACACAAAGCTCGGGTGGAAAAAGCAGAGGAGGACGAATTGGAAACGAGCCCATCGTTGACTATTTGACGGAATCCCTCATAACTTATTTATGATTTGTATTCGGGACGATGACAAAGGGAAAGCCTGGTGCGCTCGATTGTTTTTGTACTCCGTGGAGTTCTTGGCGACTGTTTTTTCTTCCCTTAGCTTTTTTCACAGTGAATAGAGGCTTGATGTTCTGACAGCATATATGCGTATGGGTATGGGTATGTGTGCATGTGCTTGTTGTTTGTTTGTTTGCTTTTTCTTTTTTGATAAAAAAAAAGTTTCATGCCATAATTTTGGAAACTGTCATTACAGTCTATATTTGTGTATAGCCATCAATATAATAGCAGTTGCACAAATGTCAACAACCGCATGGACTCTTTCCATTAGTGTTCCTCCTGCTGCTTAAGATTAGCAGTTAAGCCACAGGCCTAGTAGTTACCAACTGTAATAAATAAATAAATAAATAAATAACACTTTAAAAATGCATTGAGTGTTTCTCTCTGCACTTCACTCAAGCCCTGAATGACCAAACCCTTACAAAATATTCTACAGGAGTACAACTTGACCGAGAGTACGGCTCATTCTGTCTCTCCATGGCTGCAGCATCTCCAGGCAGCAAACCCATAACCTGACATACCAAATTGATTTGCCGAGGAGACCACAGACTTAAAAGAAGTAATCTTTCTGTTTCCTTTCTCTTCCTGTAGCTATGAAGTGCTGGAAAAGAAGCTGAAGGAGGTGTTCACAGAGAGGACGGGGATTTTGCGACAACTCTCAAAAACATCAAAGGAGCTGGACAGCATAAAGGGCAACCTGCAGGTAAGAATTCATTCTTAGCACAGGTGAAGGTCCTCAGGGACGGTAGAGCTGGGTCCAACCTTTTTGTAGATTCACTGGATAACTAAGATTCTCAGGAAAATTCACCATCATGTTCTGTCATAACACCAAAGTAGACCCTCACAGTCAGGGCTCAGTTTCAGTGGGGATGCAAGGAGATGCCTTTCACACATTAAAAAATCCCAAAAGTCATCTGCCTTTTAAAACTGCCACCCCTTTCCATTCCCTTTTTTTTTAGCTGGAAGCAGATTATTCAAAAAAGCAGAGGAAAATCAGTAGTTTTTGTGTTGGATGAGTGGTGGAGGCTGCCTCCTCAGATGTGAGCTAAAACTGCGGCTGGTATGCTGCATGCTGAGGAGGACTTGTCATCTGACGCGAGGTCTTTTCTCCTCAGTGCATAATGTGCCAACATGATATTTGTCCCAAAAAATATATATATATTTCTGGATCTAGCTAACATCAGCTAGAGTAGTTAGCCTAGTTGGCACTGAAGCACTACATCTGCCTTCTTAAACACGCCCTTGGCAACGCTCACTTTCAGGCACTTGTGTTTCAGTGTGGCACAGTGTGATATACATACTTACTCACAAGTAAGCCCATGCAGTGATTTCCACTAAAGAATCATGGCTGTTTTTAATGCGGTGCCATCTGAAGGCCCAAAAATCATGGCCAGCCAATACTGTTTTTTGGCCTTGTCCCTTGCATACAGAGATTTCTCCAGATTCTCTGAATCTTTCAATGATATTATGTACTGTAGATGATAAAAAAGCTCTTTGCTATTTTATGTTGAGAATCGTTATTCTTGAATTTGATTATGCAGTCTTTCACAGATTGGTGAACCCCTCCCCATCTTTACTTCTGAAAGCCTCTCTGCGATGCTCTTTTTATACCCAATCATGTTACTGACCTGTTGCCAATCAACCACCAGGTGTTTTTTTGCATTACACAACTTTACCAGCCTTTTGTTGCCCCCATCCAAACTTTTTGGAACATGTTGTTGGCATCAAATTCAAAATGGGCATATATTTTTCAAAAAACAATAAAATTTCTGTTTCATCATTTGATATGTTGTCTTTGTACTATTTTCAATTAAATATAGGGGTTAAATGATTTGCACATCATTGCATTCTGTTTTTATTTACATTAAATTCTGCTATTGGTCTCTTTTGCAATAAGTAGGGATGAACTGATATGGGAATTGTGGGCCAATCTGCTGATGCCCGTACATGAGCATTGTTAAAAATGTACAAATTGAGACCACATCCACATCCACATGTAAAGTAACATTGCAATTTTGCAGGGTTACAAATGCAGTAAAAATTATAAAAATGCACATATTCTCGCATAATAACACCTGGGTTATTTTCACAAAACTGCTCAAATATTTTAGTCTCATAAGCAGCAGGCAGATATAATGATTACATGATTACAATAATTACAATGCCATTGTGCACCCCTAATTTTTTGCTTCGTAGACTTTATTCTGTTATATGGAAACCTTTTTGAGTGCTTCTTTGTTTATGATTTTTCATTAAAAATAAAGTCTATGTTATTTGTTAATTCTTTGTTGTTAATCAAAATTTACTGGTTTGATGAATTGGCAGTGAGAAGTTGGCAGTTTGCATGATAAACATATTTTAAATAATCCCACTGGTTTCCCCTACAGTCTGAAACAGAGCCTGATAAATACATCCATTTACATACATTCCTTGTTTATATTTTTCAAATTAAGATAGAAAGTCCAAGTTCAGCCATTTTTTATTGATTTGGCTTGTTTAAAATTTGGATTCCACAATTAATCATCAAAATAGTCATTAAATTATTTGATTACTAATATAATCAGTGATGCCAGCCACATGATGATTGTTTAGACTGTCTGGAATGGTTAACATATCAGCAGATGTTCAGGCCTAATTTTGTCCTGGATTTGTTGTAGTTGGGAAGGCAAAGTGCCAGTGACCTTTTCATTGCATCACTGAGATAGAAGCACTTTTTTGTCCAGGTCACAAATGCTTTACAATTGAGGCACTGTGAAAGCATGGCCTGTCACTTATTCCCATTACTCACTCAGTGACCTTTCTCTGACTTTGATTCACGATTTACTGCGAAACGTCACTCTGAATGTAAATAATAGCTCAGAACATGTGAAAGGAAAAAAAAAACCTTGAAGAACGGTATACAGAAATAATGTACAGAAAAAAGTATCTTGAATAAAATACTGTTTTGAATAACATACATTTTGCTGTATATCTGTAGGCGTGCAATAAACCGTATTGACATTGGCATTGGAAAGAGTGTTAAAAGGGGCACTGCAGGCGTGTTTGTGTGAGACCGCATAGTAATATCTCATCAAGCCTGCTCATTGTGTTATGACACGATGCTTGGCCTGTTCTCTATGCAGCAGGGTCTCTGGTGACCGTGTGTTGGACATTAGCTCTAAGGCTGGGTGTGATGCCTTTTCTCCTGGGACCTCTGCCAAACTGCCATATCCCCAAAGTCTGAGCTGGAGAATCCCCTTAGCAGTGGATTTGCTGTAAAACCACAATCAACAGTAACCTTTTTATACTGATCAATTATGTATATGTGACCTTTTTGGAGCAGCTTTCCAGTCCGTCCTGTTTATTTTTATAACGAGATCTCCCCAGAGTTGAGCTCATCATTATTAAACTTTGCCTGATGAAGCCTGTAATCTTGGCAGGGGTGGGCGTGGGGTCGAGCTATGAAGGTTCCTGGTGGTGGACTCCTGCCAGCTCGCCTTGAACGGACACTGGCATGCCAGTCTCAATCCAGCTCAACAACCTCACAGATGGTCCTCTAGTGACAAAGCTCTGCTGCTGTTACTCCACACACGCAGCAGGGTCAACTCACTGAGGCTGAGACTGATTGATAAGGAAGGCGAAGGCGACGGGGCAGTGCTGCATTTGTCTGCCGAGTGCATTCGTTTTTTCTTCCCATCACTGGCTTTTGAAGGGCATTAAACAGTTTTCAAACCTTCAGAATCAGTGCAGTTTTAATGCGCCCAAATAATGAAACTAATAATGAGGTACTGTAATTTAATGTAATTTACATCAGTGGCTCGTTAAAAAAGGTAAAAGCATCTCTGAAGGGGCCCATATTATGGAATCATTCTTGATGTTTCAAAACAGTCCATATATGGAAATTAGGCAACAAAAACAGCATTTTTAGTTCATCGTTTTTGTGATGTCACAACAACACTTTTACAAATATCTGCCTATTCAACTTACAGCAGTTTAGCCCTGTCCACTCACATTGAAGTCAGATGGAGTGATTCAGCCTGGACTGCTTTCTGAATGAGGCACAATACAAAGCAGCCATTCAGAACAGAGATCGTTTACATATATATATCAGTCAAATGTCAAAGGCCAGACAAACAGAAGCCAGAAAAAGGTCATTTCACAAATGACATTTTTGTTTCATGTCAGAAGTGCACCTCAGAAAATACACACAAACGCACACACACAAACACACACACATTCTCTACGCCGCTTATCCTGCTGGGTTGCTGGGGGTACTGAAGCATATCCCAGCGGTCACTGGGCAGAAAGCAGGAAACACTGTCCATCACAGACCTCATAAAATGTAAAATACAAAAAAAGTGTAGGATATGGACCAATAAAACTCTTCTATAAATTGTTTTTATTTGTGTTTGATATTCCAGCAAATAGAAGGAAAAACGTATTCAGAAGTGCTTTATTAGCCAAGTATGCTTTCATATTGGCCTTGCAATTGGATTTTTTTCTTTTCTCCCCATGGTTTTCATGTGTACATGTTCAGAAAGGATTAAATGCTAGCAGATGGTTCAGCAAAATTGGTTTGATTATCAATAAGATTAATAGATTATTTAGTAAGACGCAAGATTATTTTGCAGTCTGTTAGCCTGCGCTCATCACTCAGCTTCAGTAAGTCTAAATGCTGAATTTATCGCTGCTTTCATCATTTCCTTTCAGATGACTATGAGAGACAATGAATCACTCTGTTTTTTTGATAGATGACAAAGAGGGAGTGACTTATGCTTTTGTCCTACCCGGGAGGCGACATTTCTCAGTGGTTTAGTGGAATCAGTCAGCTTTAGAAATGAGAATCAGATTCTTTAACATCACATCTGAACGTGTTACCTGCGTTTGGCAGCCAAGACCAAGAATGAACAGCAAACATGCGAATGTTCATAGTCATAAAGCATCTCTCACAGGGTCTTTCCTCTTTCTTTCCAGTCACTGAAGAATGATGACTCTGTGCCCAAAAAGGACGTGCAGAGGATTCTGGAGCTCAGTCACAAACAGAGGTACGGGGCAAATCATGACTTCTCTTATAGCTCATATCAAACATAGGCACGTTTATGTGTGAATGCAAAGGGACAGTTAAGTGTTTAAGACATTAAAGGAAAGCAATAAGAGGCTCTGGACCAGTAGGATCATAACATAATGTAGAATTAGTGCTGTTTAGATGACCATTATGATCCTGCTTTATATAGCAGTTACTTCTGAGCACACACTGTGATTGGTTGAAAAGCATTTAGCTCATGCTGTTATTTCTGGTTTGTTGTTTTGCTTTGTTTTTTAAAAGGGTAATTTTTAAAACAATAGAAATCACAACAAATATTTGCCAGTTGATTATTGATATACAAATATTTTAATAATTGCATTTGACATTTTGTGATAAATTACATTTAGATATGCAAATATTTACATATTTGCAGTTGATGTTTTGTGATAAATTACATTTAGATATGCAGATATGTAAATGAGACATTATGATGATGGTAAGTTCTGATACAGTTTAAGTAAATTACACTGAAAAGGTCTAAATATTAACTGTGTAAGTGTAGGATACAGACTCCACAGTGTTGTGTAGTTATTATGGGTACAATGATGGTAAGTACCCAGACAGTCTAGCTAAGCTACACTGAAATGACTAGGTTCTAGTTCTAGCAATTAAGCTGAGAAAGGACAACATTAAAAACACCTACAAATACCAGGTATTTATATGGCGTAAAAGGACAACACAAAATACAAAGATACTTTTCTGAATTAAACCATAAAGACTCTGCAGGAGTCACTGCTTTCTCTCACAGCCCAGACTGAGTTTTGTTTAAAGGTAATAAACAGGTACAGACTCTGTAGGGCATTTTTACACAGAATAACTGCTCATTACTGTAGAGTTTGTACCACATAGTGTTTGCACCAGTTAATACCTACAACTTGTTTGGTATGTCAGTGTAACTTAGTTACCCAGCACTTTGGAGTCTGTACCTCACACTCAATTTGGTTAATACCTAGAACTTAAGAGTCTGTAAAAGAAAGCATTACCAGTTGTTGTACAAACTGAAATTCTTGGTTCTGAATGTTCTGAAAAGCTGATTTTGAGAATCAACCTTAGAGCTGCATTACCCACATCTCAGAAAACACACACCAACTGTGGGAATGTTGTCCTTAATACAAAATAAAATAGACATATTTGATATGTTATTTAGGTTCTACAAGAAATAAACCTTTCATGATGACATGGTGTGGTTTTGCCGAGTGCAGGCAGAGCAAAACCTGTGTCATTAACAATTGAAAAAACATACAAAAATAAACGTTTCTGTTAAGTTCGGCCATTTTTATGGTTACAATTTAAGAGAAGAGATTGTATCGATTCAATTTGTAGAAAAATCTGAAAAAAGGATAGGATCAAAATCATTATTTCTGTAGTATCATTATGTCTGTAGTATCTTGCCCTAATCTACTGACCAGTGGTTACTACAATGTAACAACAATGGTCAGTTGACTCTAAGCTGCTGGAACTACTGATTTGGAGAAAGGAATGTCCAGTGTAAAACTATTATACACTACCACACACTATTATACTTTTTGTGTAGCTTTGAATAAAAACTTAATCCCTTAAATGTGATTCTTACTATTCACTTATTAATCTTAAGAATCATTGTTCACAATAATTATTATTCACATTAACTGCTATAAATGATGTGGTTGTGTTTATGAAACAAATCTGCAGGTTGTGTGGTTAGGAGTATTGCTTTAAAAGATTAACAATGTACAGGCATCTTATTGACTTTTTTTTGTTTTTGTATTAAAGCATTTTTAAGAGAAGAATAGCAGTGAGTGCACATATGGCAGTTTTATTCAGATGCGTTGAGCTGTTGCACAAACTGAGAACACTTACTCATTGTACCGAATAGCCTGCTCTCACATACGCACAGCTGTAATTAGGAAGCGTTAGCTGCTGTTTGTATGCAGCCGGGGTGACAAACGCATTGCTATTGTGTGAGTGACAGTGCTCGTTTGCATACTGCTCAGCCTTTAGGCTGTGACTATGGAACAAATTCAGACTTTGAGAGCGTGCTCTTCTGGCATACATCAAATCAAATTGCCCTCCAGTTGTGTTAAAGAAGTTGGAGCCATGGAACAGGTTCCTCTTTCGAGCATCATGGCAACAGATTAGATCCATTAAGGGTCAGCCGTGTAAGCTGCTGCAAGTTAGTCAGTGACAGAATTCAATTTCCCCCAGTGTCAGGTGTGTAATGGTTTCTATTTTTGCTCCCAATCAACAGAGAATAGACAGTGAAAAACAGGGTAGATGTGCCAAGGCCACCGAGACTCACTCTCTGTCTGAATTCAGCTGGCAATATAAATGCTTTAGGGGAAAATGAATAGATTATGGATTTAACGAAATGTCACTATTTGGTGAAATGTCAGTATGTTGCCACTGAAAATAGTTTTATGAACCAGCGTAGTTTTAGGAGCGAACACTGTTCAATTTCTGAACAGCAAATATTCCTAAGCTTTCCAGCTAGAAAGACCAAGTTTAGTTTGAAGCTTCAGGGGATTAAAAACTGAGTGCTTCTGGTTAGTTTTCCAACAGACATTAATATTTAACTTGAAATATCATTTGATTTTGAAAGCTGAACGTTCAAGACTGGCTACCAGTGGACCGATTTCTCCATTTTTTTTTTTCTTTCTTTATTACTTACTGTATTTAACCAGGAATGAACTCAAAACATATGAGCTATGATGGCTCCTACACTCAGAAAAAAGGTATGACACTGTCACTGGGGCAGTACCCCTCTTGTCACTGGGGTGGTACCCTCAAGGGTACATCTCAGTACCTTTAGTCAGGGAACATAACTGTACCATAATCCATTGAAATTATATTTTCCAAGCTGTATCGACTCCACACACCCCGTCTCGTCTCCAGTCTTTTTATTTTGTTGTTCTGTTTTAAAACATTAGGTTATAAAAAAGTATAAATATGTTCTTTTCCACTAGGAAAAACTTATTTAAGGTACACAGTTGGACTGTTGTACCATTGAGGATGCACTTACATTGGTTGTACCTTGATGAACAAAAAATATACTTGCACAGTACCTTTTTTTCTAACATTGTACAGCTTTAAAGTTTAAAAAATTAAACTTGTAAAAATTCTTTAAGCAGCTCTTATAAACATTGTCAATCCTGGCAGCTTAATGTTGACAATTTAAAATAGAGTCTGTTTCTCAAGTTCTGACCTTGTGTCCCTAAACTCACTGAATGTTATAGTGGAACCTGTGTTTATGTCTGCCAAACTCAATGTCAACAGTTTTTGGAGTTGTTTTCAATATATTTTATGGTCTAAAGTAGTGATTGCAATTGTTATTTAAAAATTTTTCATATATTAATTATTTTTTTCCTGGAGGATCATCAGTACTGTAACTGGGCTGGAATGCACTGGAGCAGAGCTCTAGCACCTTTGATTCATGTGAATGGCAAAGTAGTTTTATGGATGTGTAAACTGTTTCCATCACAGTCTTTGTGAAACTCATTTAACTGTTCGTTGTGATAAACTGCGCTGACAGACGCTGACACCTTAACAATGGCCCTGGTCACTTCATGCATCTTGAGTGTCACCCAAGACGAATTTAATGCAGGTACAAATGCGATCACTCAAACCACTTCAGGAGGTGATCTGATGCATTTTAGCCACGACAGCACTGGGCATGTGATCCATGACTATGAGGAAGATTATCATGGTGAAGCCACATGGGTGTGGACCAGATGAAACGAAAATGCTTAATAGCAGTATGGACAGACATGACTGTGAAAAGCTAACTGCAAACAAAGAGGCTGAACGAATAAACAATTGGTAATTGGTTGCCATGTAACAAGCTGATTTGTATATTCCATCCCTCACAGAAATTGGATTTCAATCCGACTAACTTGGAACATTTGACTACCAAGTGTAAATGCATGTGGCTAAAATCCAGATACTAGTCACATTAAGTAACCAGGTGTGACCGGAGTCAGTAAGGTTACACCTGGAATGGACTGTGGAGAGGCTCTTGGATTGTGAGAAGCAGAAAATGCTACTGACTTCTTAAACTTTGGAGGTGTGGAAAAATATCCCTGATATTTAAAAAAAAACACTCAAAAATGTTATATTCTATTTAGTTTTTGAGGCTTTTAAGTAAGTTGATTCTAAGTAGCTTTTTTTCTCATGTTTAAAAATGAATAACTTGCACTTTTTTTTGGCAATATTGGCCATATTGAAAATTAATTAAATTGAATTAAACATGAAATTCAAATCAAATAAAAAAAGCTGATCTCTGAGTATTGCACTGTACTGCGTATGCAAGCCATCTGCAAAAAATGTTGCATTTTTCATGAGAAGGATATGTGAGATTCAGTCAGCGTGATGAAGAGCAAATGAGCTTTTTTTCTGGAACACAAGAAAAAGAATCCACTTTAAAGTACACATCAGGTAGCCATTGCTGTCTGACAGCCAATAACAGAGGACATGAGCAATATCTGCATATTATCTGCAGCTGTGTTCCATACATCATACATCAGAGAGGAAACCATTTCAGCAGCCCATTATGAACAACAAACATTAACCAGGAAGACAAGTTTTACATGGAGTTCAAAGGGAGTGAGTTGGCAGCACAACAGACAGAAACTGAACACAAAGGACAGTGTAAAGGCAACAGACAGCATATCAACAGGTAGGGAAACCTGCAGCGCTGACACCAGGCACCTTTTTCCATGGGGTTTCTTTTAACTCAGCTGTCATTCAAACACACAGCTGAGAGATGAAGTGTTTGTTTTACGCGTGTCCTTGTTTGAGAAACATCTCGTCTGAGAATTAATTTTACATGCATCTCTAAACACTGAGTCATGAGACTCAAGTGTAATAATAATAATAATAATAATAATAATAATATGCATACCCACTATTAGATGACCTCAAAGTATACCCCACATCTGCATGTTCTGCACAAGGCTGAAATTAAGAATATGCTGTTTTATCTTGGTGAGTATAAATTAGAGTCATTTGATGTCCACTGGGCTACTCACGCTTGCCCATTTGTCATTTTTCAGCACTGGCCATTTTGTCATAAAAGTTCTAACAAGCCTAAAGCACATACAGGCTGAGGGGATTTATTATGTCATTTTTCATTGTCAGGCCAGCCTGAGCTATACCAAAATTTCAGGTCAGTTCACATCTCAGGCCCCCTCTTGAGCCCTGTTATGTTAAGGTCAACAGTACAATCAAACGGCAGAATATGGTCAAAAAAAAAGTAATCATGTTAAACAGAAGCAGGTGCACAGGTAATGCATACTGCATGCTAATGCCAGCATCACTAGTGAACAACAAGTAGCTCTGTAACGTTCTCTCTCCAGTCGTGTGGAAACAAGCAATATGTTCTCTACATTAGTTTTACTGAGCAAAATGTCATGAGGAAAATATAATGTTCAATTATCTGTTGCTTGTTTAAGCTAACTGAGCACAGAGGTGAAATTGATCATGAATAAATGAGCTGGAAAAAGCAGTGTTAACTACCTCAAAAGTTTGAAAATAAATTGTGGTTTTCTCAGGCAGATGTTCTAAAAAGCCAGCAAATGACAGTGAGTAAATTTGTACACTGGCACTGCAAGAAAAAAAAATAGTAATATCTTTTTTCCAGGCTTGAAGATATTATATTCTCTTTACAGGGTTTACTACAGATTTGAAATATACTGTGGTGCTGAGGCAAGGAGTGGTGCACAAGGGGAGCCACAGACCCCAAAGCATTAATAAATCACAAAATTCAGAGTAATAACTTCAGAAATACACACAGTTTTTCATTTACAAGACTGTGTAGGTATGTTAGTTGCATAAAAATATTAATAACACTAAGCCATTTCTTTTATTTACAGGTTTAATTTATGTCTCAATGCCTTCTCTGAGGTTAAACTTGAAATCTTTGTTAGAGCAGTAAAAGACGATGATTTAGACATGTTTCTGAGCGTTTCTGTGCCGACAGGTTGCACTACAGCCTACCGGCTATTATTTATCCACTCTGCAGGAGAGCAATAGTGAACCGAAGTTTTATGACTGAAACAAGAAGCCACAATCACTGACTGTATTTCAGGAATGTTTAAGCTAGCTTAATGACCTCAAAGCGCTTCTCTGACACGATGTGATGCAGGTCCCCTCCACCTCACGCAGCTTCTTGTTAAAAGATTTTTCAAAATCTGTTAAGTAAATGTTTGCCATCCTTTTCAAATTAAGAGAAAGCAAATTTTAAGCCAGACAACTTTGCTGTGTGTGTGTGTAGTTGCTAGCTTACTTTAGGTGAGTGTGACTCACTCTCCCACTGTGTGTACTTTCAGTGTATAAACTATGTGTGAGAAGCACTGCTTTAACCCGATTAAAACTAACCAAAGTCCTTATAAGAAAGTATGTTCACTCAGCGGTCAACTTGGCAATAGCCCCAGGTGGTTAATTTTGTCACACAAGGCAAGAAAACAGGAGATTCCTATAAACTCAAAGCTGAAAGCCACTTTCATGATTCAAAGATTTGAAATCACTGGTTAAGTCTGACGGCAATAGCTTAAATAGTTTGAAGTGTTTGGTTCAAATACTGTTCATGCATTTATTGCCACAATGAGGGGGGCTTTTCTGCACTTATGCCTTTTTCAACATATCGATGAGGCCATATTGATATGGCCATATTAAAATGGATCTGCATGGGCTTTCTGTGTGCTAACATGTTTTCTATTACTGTATAAAAGAGGGACAGTGCTGCCTTTATTGTTAGGTGCAGTGCATGCACATATTCAGAATGTTGTGGAAACACTTATTATTGATTATTATAGAGTAGCAATAAAAGGCAAGTGTGAAGTAGATTCATATGCGATGGTTTTCATACTTAAAAAAAGATAATATATGTGTAACGAAACCAAACCTGTCAGATGCTCACAGTAAAAAAAAATAAATAAATAAAAAATGAGGCTTTATTGTTAAGGGCTTTAGCAAAATGATGAACAGGCGATGGTCAAATCCGTAGAGGTCAAAATACAAAGAAGTACAAACATAACAAAACCAGGCAGCCAGATCCAAAGGGCAAAGACAAAAAGACAAAGTCAGAGAATCCAAGGCAGGTCAAAAAATACAAAAGGGCAATCAGAAAAAATGCTCAGTAGTGTTCACAAGAAATAGCAATACCTCCCAACGAAACTAAGCTAAAAGCCCGGGCTTTCTACTAACTCTAACTAATCACATGACCACTAGAACAGGTGAACCAGATTAGTATTTAGGTGCGTATGAGCGATGATTGGAGTGCTGTGGAGAGTCAGCTGGCATGTGATTCTGGGAGATGGAGTTCATGGATGCTTCAGAGCCAGAGGAATGCATGACAATATGATAAAAAACAACCCTAAAAATTATTTTTCAGTTTGTTAGATCATGCTTGTGGCGTCACATTATTAAAGGAGGAGAGTAGCGGCTTTGTAGGCATTAAAGTGTTAAAAAGATCCTCTATGGTGCAGAATTTCCCGATAGAAGCAGAATGTGCTCATCGTGTTTTGCTGCACCGTTTGCCTTTGTTAAAGGGCCTTTTTTCAGTATACAAATGTGCACGCATTTTTCCAACATGTTCATACTTCTTACTTGGTTTACCATGACCGATCCGTTACATACTCAATCAGTGCTTTTCCGTGTAATGAAAATGACCTCTATCATGACCTTTCGCTGGCACAAATTACACTGCTCATTCTCTCTCTTACTCTCTCTCATTCTCAGGGAGGAGATGAAGTCACTCCAGGCAGCTCTTCAGAAGCAACTGGACGAGGCTGCTGAAAAAGCAGAGAAACAGCAAGCCACGGTACGAGTCCTAAACACACCCCCCCATATACAAAAGTGAAAAATGGTACATGTTCCTATAGCCATTCATCAGCCTTCTGATGATGACAAAACAAGAATGATCAATATTGAGATCAATGAGAGAGAAAGAGAGTAGATTTGTTATTCCTAATAAGCTGTAGTTGGACTGATGGACGTGACGTCTTAGAGAAGCAATTTTTCATTTGGCCGTGTCATTACTGCGTTTTTTATTCTCCCCTGTCCGCAAAACTAATTATCAGGAATCAACACTGGAATCCTCATTACAGCACCCGAGACATGCCATGGAGACGCGAGATAGAGCCTCGGCTATTTTTGGGCATCTGCTTTTAGGTGTATGGAGTATGTTAATTATGAAAAGCCGTAGGAGGCACCTTCTCGGCTCTTGAGGGGACACGCTGTTATCTGCATGCTGGAACTTTTCTCTCTCCCATCTCTGTGTGTGCGAGTGTGCGCAGGGCTGCAGGGGAGAGAGGCTCTGGCACTCGTGTGCAGAATGAGAATGAATCACCGAGGAGAATTTCCATTTCACCAGCCCGGCCTATTCTTTCTTTTCCATGAACAGTTCAACACCGATTGACACTAATTACAGACAGCACAATGACCTCGCTGCCTTAGACCTGTTTACACACTGCTTTTACTGCAAAGTGCCCATTCACTTTAAGCAAGCATTAACATTTTACACTGGTTTTAAAACACATCAACAAGTTGTGGATTTGTAGTGACTTAAATGTCTTTCTTTTTGTTACTCAGTTTCCTAGATATTGTTTAATTGATTGGTTAATTTGCTGATTGATTGACGACTAATTTTTTTTAGTAGCCTGTACAACTAAGTGACACTTGTAACAAAACAATATAACTGAAATTAGGCAAATGTCACTTCAACAAAACAATTTAGTCCTATGTGGATGGGATTATGTGAATGTGTAACGTGCCTTCACACTGGCAGTGGTCAGAGGTCATTCCTTTTCAATGAGAGATGTTGTTTTCCGGCAACAGGAGGCCGCGCGAACTTTGGCAGTGTTGAGCAAAGTTTAACTTTATGCAAAGAAGGAGCGAAGCGATGTGACGATTACCAGTAGAATTGAGCAGCGTAGTACACACTTACACACATCTCCACCACCGTGAAATGGTTGCTCCATTTTTGTTTCCTAGATAATTGTTTGATGGTGGAATAATGGTGGTGGTGCGTTCGTCGCAAATAGACAGTAATCACCAAATAGCGTTTTCCTTACAAACTGACTGTACAGACACGGGGATTAAATAAAAATAAGCACACAAGCAATTTCTCACCAGGATTTTTATTTCTAGCAGGAAGGCATCTGATTTGTTCTTGGCGTCAGTGAAACCATGGCAACCGAGTTGAGTTCAGAAATGGCGTTGAGCGATCAGCGATTTGGGCGACGAGAGCCGAAAAGTCGCTGCCGGTGTGAACATAGGCTAACATTAAAGCGATTCTGATTCTGCTTAGTTTTATATGGGAAAGGGGGTTATTTAAGTTTTACTTGTGAACAGTTGCTTGGTCATTTTATACCATCCAAACCCCTCATGTAAGTACAGTACTGTGCAGAACCTTCATTTATTTAATATCCAGCCAAAATGGCCATTAAATACAAGTTATTTGTTTTTCTGGGGCAGAAAAAGCAGGAGAGCAGCTTCCGTTCCTTCTGGGAGACTTGTTTTTAAGGAAATATGCAAATATATGCAAAGTTCAGTCTTAGAAGTTGCTTTTTCTGCTTCCCATCCAAGTAATCCCAAACACAGATATGTTGGCATCTGGACTCTGGGGTTGCTTGTCCATTGTTCTGAGAACGCCAGCAGCAAAAGGCAACTATGACCATTGGCTGTAAATTCCCAAGCTAATGACAATGCTAATGACTGCATTCAGCTAGGTGGATGTTTATGGTAAATGAAATAATAGTAATATTAATTGTCTGGACATGTTTACTACTTGTGAGCAGCCAAACATATTTTTGATGTGACAACAATGCAGTTGAGCAGCCACTCCCATCTCTGTAATTTATACAGAGATTCCTTATCCTGCAAATCTTGTCATAAACTTTACAGACATCCTGTGGTAAAATCACATTTCCCCTCCCGCCCGTGTAAAACTAATCCCGTCTAAATATTATTTTAGACTGAAAGTCATTTTTAGCTAAGCCTTTGTTTGGCATCACTGATGATAAAGGCTTTTTAGCTGTATAAATTATCATATCACCCATGTTGCAGCTGTAATACTAAAGGTTGTAAGGAATGACAATGTTATTCCACCCCAAAATGTGAGTTTGGATTAAACCTGATCTGATTAGCTTAATCTAATTAGCTTAATCACTCAATGGCTTAATCATCATAGAAAGGTCCACATGCATGGTGTTGCTTGTACAATTATATCAGGAAAAAAATTTAATTCTGTTCGACAGCCATCAATTATAGATTGACACTGGGAGTGGGCAGTCGACATCCATTTCAGACAAAAGGATACTTCATTTATATTCGGAGAAGGGCTGTTACAGTACACATATTAATATTAATTTTCTTCAATGCAAGAGCTGCAGGACAATGCGTGCTGTGAATGGAACACAGATTTTATGCTTTAAAAGTATTTCTGATGACATGCTAACATAGACTGCAGTGGTTTCCACTGTGCTATTAATAAACACACCATGACATTTCTGAAGGAGACATCATGAAATTATGAAAAAAACAAGTTTTCTTTGTCTACCCAATGGTGTGTATGCTTTGTGTGTACTTAAATATGTTTTTCTTTGTAGAAAATTACTTGTAATTATGCTTTCAAAAGATGCTGTGGACTTGTTTTGTCAGTTGAGCTTTGATAAAAAAGGAGGTAAATTATTGTTGACTTTTTCTTACTTCGGTGTTGAAAACATACTACATAGTGATGCAAAAACTGCAATGCATAGAGTATTGTGCAAAAGACCTATCTAGAGACCACCCTGTAGTTATTTAATTTACAGACAAAACAGCCCTTAAGTGCAAGTTATAAATTTTTCAGTGCCAGGAAAAATCAGAAAACATACATTTAACAGAAAATATCAAGTTCAGTCTTAAAAGTTAGTTGCATTTTCTGTTTCTCACAATTCATGTATTACCAAACACATTCAATAATGTTGAGGTCTGGACTTGGGGGTGGTCAGCCCATTGAGAACACTAGTAGCTTCTTTGTTTGATCTCTTTGGCCCATTTCCTTTTCTCAGTAATGGCTTCTTGGCAGCTGTTCATCCTTTCAGACCCATAGTGTTGAGTTGTTGTCTCACAGTAGAAGGATGGGCTGAAACAGTTGTGTTTTTTTTTTTCAGATCTGCAGCGAGAGTGGAGCTTGATTTTCTCCTCTCTCTCAAAGACGAAAGCTTTACGTTTTGTTTTTCTGATGTTGACAGTGTTGGTGGTCTACCAGGTCTTGCACAGATGTTAGGAGCCCAATTTTATCTTTATCTATTAATAATTTTTGTTCCCTTGACTTTTCCCTTCCACATGGAAGTGGATTATCTTATATCTAATCTCAGAAATTAACATGTACTTAAAGGCTGTTTTGACTAGATATAAAATGAAGGGTGGTCTCTGACTTTTACACAGTACTGTATCATTTCATGTAATATGCATATCATTAGCCCTCTAATGAGGAGCATAGCTTACTTGGCAGCAAACTGTAACTTTCAGTGGTAAATACTGTACATTCTTTGGAGGCGGGATGTTCAGTCTGCCTGTACTGAATCTGGCATACATTTTATGTACTTCATTACCGCTTTTACTACAGTAAACCCTTGGGATTTTTCCATCAAGTTCAGAGAGACATCACTTTTTTTCCTTAGAAGCATATGTAGACTGACAGACCTAGCAAAAATGGAAATGAAGGAAAGAGAATATGGCCTGCCATCTTTTACCAGTAGCTTAGGATATAAATAAAAATATGTTTATGCATTGCCTGCAGTGTGTCAGCTCATGAACCTGTACAAAAGTCAGTAAATGTGGAAGTGAGAATGAATGAAGAAGCGTGTACAGTTGGGTATTGGCAGGGCGCATGTTCTGGATCAGTATTTAGATGTGTTCTTCTCTCCCCAAGCCGCCCGCTGAGGCTGGAGGAAGGAGAAAGTCAGGGTTGCGCTCGGTGAATTTGGAATGAGGAGCAATAGTGTTTGATTGGTGTTGCATTTCAACCCTCAGGGCTGTAAACACTCCTGCTTCCTTTCTGCCTTTCAGAAACACACTGTAGATTATTTGGGGAAGCTTTCAATCTGAGCCTCATGATTCATACAAAGTTTCATACATAGATATTGCTGCATGCCTTCCTAATGTGAATATTTGGAATGCGGTTATTGCTGTGAATACCAAGAGAGTGCCAAGAGAAAACAGCAGAAATCTGTTTTTTTCTCAGCTTTTTTCTTAGCTGATGACCTCACGACTGCTACATGCAGTATTTCTTAGCTGTAATCTCATTTGCTCTTGTTTTTATGCATTTCGATCAGATTGACTCTCAGAGCATGATCTCATAGTGCTCTGCATTTGCAATTGCAATGAAATGTAGCTTCTTGTGGAGTAGCATCCATATTTATGACGAGCAGAAACTCACAAAACAATACAATAAGTGCAGTCTGGACAAATGTGCTCAGTGATGTTCTGTTTTCATCCAGATCAAGTTTCTGAAGATGGAGATGGAGAAAAAGACCAAAATCATCAAAGACTTGCAGCAGGAGGTACGGTAGAGACTGCAGTATGCTCAATGCTTTAAGCCTGCAACATATGAGACAGAACAAAGATGATAACAACAGCAGGGACTCTTTATGTCCAATAACGGTGATGCATTTATCATCTTGACATCTTGACATGGAGACTTGTTTACCTTTATTGTCAAAAGTTTTGTTAAATTTTAGAGTGCCTCTTATAGGAAGTATTTTTAAAAACATGATGACGATACCAGTTTATCTTCTGTCATTTAGCATTTGCTATTTAAGGCAGATTTTAGGTCATTAAAATAATTTAAAACTGCCTTTGATCATTCCTTATGGGTAGTTTGTCGTACTGGGCAGTAAAGTGAAATAATAAGAAACTATTGCGTTTATTCTGACAGAGATTTATGGAATGTCCACCAGTATATTCTGGTGTAATCTATCTCTCGTTAGGTGTGGAGGAGAACTTATTTTAATTGAACATAAAATTGGAAATGTCTCCTCTGTTCATCATAAATGGCCACACTAGTCACTCAGGTTCAGTACGAGATGCCATGATGTAATGATAGCAAACGGCTTGATACATAGACGATATCAATTTCTTTGGCATCCAGGAAATTGAGGGCATTAGGCCAATATAAGAAAGATTCAGTGATATCAATCACGTTTGCATCATACTCCTATGTGAAATATCATCCATCCCTCTGCACAAATTGTGCCGTTGCTCAGCTCTGAATCTTTGTTTTTTTTCTCTCTTCTGGCTGAATAATAGTCACAATGCAATACCTTATCTGCTTGGGTGGATCCCAGTGTCGCTGTGGCCTGTAGCAAGGCGGCCACATGTCACTTTTAATGACAGCTGCCATTGCTCCAGCAAGGCCCGGCCCGTGGCCTATATTCAGCTGTTGGTGGGGATGCAAGTGCTTGGACTTGATTCCGAGCCAATTCCACCTCATTGAATCACATTGCAGTGCCATTCTGCTTCATTAGCTCTAACACCCCCCTCTCTCCCTCTTTCTCCTTCTTTTTCTTTTCTTTCTCACCCTTCTCACCCTCTCTTTCCCTCTTTCGCTTCCTGTCACTAACACTAAATGTGTTGCATCGCTTCATAAGCCATTCAACCCCTAAAGAATGGCCCTTTGTCTAAGCCTTGGAAAAGTGGTTTCCTTCTAGGGCAAACCTGGTTTCCAGGGGCTTACCTCGTTAAACAAAGATTAAATACATTTTTTTCTGATGTTGACCACTCTGATTTTTAACTTTAGTAGATGATTACAGAGCCTGCTGATTTAGGTTCCATAAAATAGGGCTAAAATGGACTAAATATGGACTTTATTCTTATTATGCCCAGAACCTGCTGGCAAGTCAAGACTTCCAGTCATTGCTCCTATACCTTAACAAAAACTTGGTCATTTTGCATAGTTTTCCATATAATTACTGAATAATAAGCCTTAAGATGTAATACGCCTGGGAATGTTACAGGGTTAATGATATTGATATATTGATATTGATATTCAGTCACAATTGTTAAAGGGAAAAAAAAACAAAGTCATTCGGAGTGGTTTGATGTGAAACAGTGCATTGTAGAAAACTTTGGTGGTGATATGAACCAGAGGCCACACTTCCATTTACTATCCAAACATTGTTGGCCAAAAACTATCGCAAAACTATGCCTAGAGCATCAGGCCAAGTATTTGTTACCATTTCATTTAATAGTTTTCTGTGAGGCAGCTTTAAGAGGCATCAAACACTAAAGATATCTGGTTCCTACCACCATCACTGGTTTGTTTCTCTACAACAAAGCACTTCACATCAAACCACTCAGAATGACTTTAACTATTATGCAGAACTTTTGAAAAAATCAGTGGAATTCCCCTTTAAGACTCATTATTCAATAACTACTATAACGTATTGTAGTATTTTGAATCTAATAGGTATATTATGTAGTTGTGAGCAAGAAGCACTTAAATGTGAGTCCACGTAAGGTTAAGAGAAATTTTTGACATGCCCTTTCCAGTTTCAGCTCACCACTCAGAAATGCGTCACTTTGCAGGTGTTATGAAGTCCCTGTGTAGGTTAACTGTACCATACTGGTCTAAGCTATTCTGTGCAGGTTTATGTTGGTCTGGTGCTGGTTTAGCTGGTTAACCAGCATGACCATTCTGGGTAACTAGCATACCAGCATCCAAAACAAAACATGTGCTAGTTTTGCTGGTGTCCTGGCCTGCTGGCCTATGTTATTTTTTCTAGCAGGGCAGACAGGTCTACGGCAAAAATGGAAATAAACAAGTCTTAACCAAATTAAGTTCATAGATAGAGAGATAAAAGCTCCAAATTGAACTCAGTGAAGACCAAAGCCACCATCCCCCCAAATGATAAAAAAAACAGAGGCAATAATGTTTTCTGAAAAATGGTTAAAGCTTTCCTGTCTAAATGTCTAAATTTAGACTGCTGTAAAATGACATGTACTTTAACAGAGCTCTGATCAATGTTGTTTCTTTTCTTTGCAGAATAAAAGCTTGAAGAACAAACTTCTCTCTGGAAACAAACTCTGTGACATACATGCAGAAGAGGTATGTCTCATTCAAGAGTACCACACTCACAGCCACACACAGCTATGTCACCTTCCTCCTGAGCTCAGCTGGACAGTAAAGGCTGCTCTGAACTGGAGCTTTACCAAGTTCAGAGGTTATTTGTTGCTAGCTGTTGTTATACAGTATAATCCCCAGGGAGTCAAAAATAGGGTTTAAAGAAGAAAAGGAGAGCCCAGCCAGAGCCCAGGTCCTTTTGTTGTTATTGGAAACATACCTTAATACAGCCTCAATTTTTTCTGCCACCAAACAGCAACTCAATAGCATCTCTCCCATGCTGCAACAAGCACAATTGATGTATCTAAAAAAAGTACACACTTGAAAGCAGGGCTCTGAAATGATTCAAGGAACAAAAATGAAACCTGAAAACAGTGTTTTACTAGGAACAAAAATAATACGTAACTGTTCCAGAGCAGAAACATTAATTGGAAACCTTACCGGCTAATAACTCTCTTTTTTTTTCTTTTCATGCAGCTTACTAGTTTATTTTGGATCAACATCGCATTTCATGATTTAATTCAGTCTATCATTTTACCAGTTTTATATGGCTTCTGTATGATATTTTAGCGCTTAGGCTACAGATATTTTGCTAATCACAAGTAAGTAGACAATAGCTCTGAATGTCCTCTGTGCTTTTCTGTATTCTTTCACATAAATTTGTTTATATCACATCATGATGCAAAAAAATCTTTTAGCCAGGTAGCAAATCTATGCATTCTAAAGGAAAATTCCTCCATCAAAATTTTTGCATAATTCAGTTGTTAAGTTGTAAACATAGTCATTCAGTTTGATGTGAAATGTTGCATTTTAGGGAAACATACTGACTTAGATTTACAGTGGTGGTGATCGGAATGTCTATAATTCAAATATAGCCATTTTATTTACTATCCAAAATGACCACTGAACCTACACGCGTCTTCTGAGTTTGTATGTGTAAAGTTACTAATACTAAAAAATTTGTTCATACACACCACAAATTTACATAGCTTGTGTTTGTGTGGATATTTAATGGCAGTACAAATACAGCGTATGAATGGCAGGTGTAATAGCTGTCCAAGCAAACTAATTTTGGCGTCAAGCCCACATGCAGTATATATATATATATATATATATGAACAGAATTAACCAGTTTTTAATCTCGTTTAGGACCAGTATGAAAATTAGTTCTTTTTGGAGTGAACATATTCCAAAGATATGCCAAAATTACCACTTTATTTTATTTCTGAGCCCTGCTTCAAAAGATATACCAAGTTCTTTTTATTTTCTACATAGGGACTTCTTAAATACTTGTTTATAAGTTCTACAGTTCCACATATTTCCACTTAGTTAAAGTACAAAAGTACAATTTCTGTGAAGGAGGCCTGTTTTTTATATCTGCAGCCACTCGAGTCTCCTTAATAGAAGCTGTTCAACTAATACTAATAATATCTATAATAACTCAAAGTACTTTGGCTTTTGATATTTCAGTACATTTAGAAGCAAGCAATTTTGTGTTTTTGTACCCAAGTAGAAAACAAACTAGGAACTTTTACTGATGTAACATTTTACCAAGGATATTTCTGCTTTTACTGGACTATATAAGTTTGGTATATGAATATGTATATTTATGCATATAACAAAATATGTAAGAAAATTGTCACTTAAATTCAAGGGCATTAGAATCTTCCATAGAACTAATATGTGTTGCACCTAACCAGGACTCTGCCTTATATGTTTTATTATTTGGGTGTGAAGTTTCATAACAGTGTTATAAAAGGAACAAAGGTCTGTCAGTTTAGTTAAAGGTCACTTACATAAATACAATATAATTTACTTCGTAAACCATCTTATGTTATCTTGCGATTACTGGCGTTAGCTGTTTACTGATATTCAAGTATTGCCTTATAAATATGGTGTAATGCTTATGCATGTGTCATTAAGTCCTCGTGTAGGGAGCCTTCAAATAAAGTGTTAGTTTTTTTTTTTATTTATTTATTTTTTTTCCTGAGAACTGTACCTCCAGGCAAAGAACCATTTAGGAAGCTTTACTTTTAAGAGTGTACACAATCAAACTGTTGGCTTTCAGGGAATTTGAAACCCACTGATGAGACCATATACCATATACAGTACTGTGCAAAAGTCTTAGACACCTAAGCACATTGTTTAAAGCTATTTATCTCAACAGTCGGTCTGTTTAATTTGTTAGATACCAATAAACATGAATACAGTCAAGAGTAACAAACATATTTCATTTTCAAAAAAGAATTTGATATGTTGTGAGCTAGTTTGAAGAACAAAGTTTGGTTCCAGATATGTCCTCGATGCCCCCTGCTATCATATGGATTTGTTGAATTAATTCCATCACCAGCACATCTGGTTTAAATTAATGAATGGTTGATAATCCAAATCGAGTATTGGATGATAACTACTATTAAAAGGAATTTCCACCGGTCAGTCATTGAGATGTAAACAAAGTCATTCAGAGTGATTTGATGTGAAATAGCTCTTTGTAAAGATTTGAGCTTATATATATCTATTTTATTTAGTATCGCAAACCACCAGTGAACCTACACATGTCTTTTGGGGTTTTATATGTGCTGCTGATAAGGATAAAACAGTGATAAATCTGAAATCGGTTTTCTTTTTGGGACTAATTTGTCTTAGAATACCCTGCTTGTACCTCATGAATGGCTTTTAAAAAGCATGCATCATAAAACAACATCACAGGCATCAGGCAGCGTATTCATGACCACTTGAGGACACTTTTAGAGACGTCTTTGGACATCTGGTTCCTTTCACCACTAACATAGACAATTCAGACTCAGTAAGCATTTAACAAGATTGGAGCATTTCACATCAAACCCCCTGAATGACTTTCTTTACATCTTGACGATTTACTTATGAGGTGGAATTACCCTTTTATACAAGAAAATGGTTAAACAAACACACTGACTTACAAAATATCACTACATATTATATTAATGTTATTTGTATTTTTCCTAATATTAGCATTTTTTGGAGCAAATAAACACTTAATGCTCAGAAAAGCAGCTTTTTAAATCTGATTTTCTCAGGTGCCTGAGACTTCTGCACAGCACTGCATGTAAGTGGAATTAGCCGTGTGTGGCCGTGAGGCGCGTGTGTTTACAGAAACAGCTGCGATTCACGACCACATGTGTACCGGTTAGCTGGTGCATGAGCGTGTTTGCCTCATTGAGTGGGTCGTGCGGTTCACTGAAGGGAAATTTTTATACTTCCCTGCTCTGTGAAGGTCTCTCCTTTGAGTTGGAGCTTTGCCCAGCAAGTGCTCACAAAGGAGCTCTTCGCTACAGATGAAAAATCCGTGCTACACGATCTAAAACCAATTTTACTGTTTGAATAAGCTAACTCCCATTTCTCCTTATCTTCATTTTGCAGTCCAAAAAAATCCAGGCCCAACTGAAAGAGCTGAGGTATGGCAAAAAGGATTTAATTTTCAAGGTAAGTGCCAAACAAAGATGATGTGTCATAATTGTACCCAAGCAGGATGGCACAGGTTCTTCAGGCCACCTTGAAAAGGTGATTTCACCTGAGCTGAGGATCTAATTGAGTCTCGGAGCACTAGCCCGCTGCTTTGAGAGGGGGGCCACTTTAATGAGGGCCATTGCACGTCTCGCTGTTTACCACATACGAGGCTTCTGATGGATTTTGTTTCATGCGGTTTAAAATGGCCTTCCCTAGAGATTCTCCCGCTCTCCTCTTAAGGAAACTAAACAGAGAGGCTCTGGAGACGGCCCATTGAAGTCAGGAAGGCTGTTATTGCTATAGGACTTTCGCTGCGCAAAGGCTTTTACTGTTTTCAATGGTTTCCTCTCCAGAGTAGTTTTTATTCAGCAGCTTTCATGCCAAGGTGTCTTTGAATGGTACCCACTTAAAAGATGAGCACAGCTTACAAATCTTTCTTGTTCTTGCTAACCTCTTAATAAAAATCAAGTATTATCCATGTACTGTATTGTTAACCCATTAATATATTTATTTTTAAATTTTCATTGGTTCACGTGTTCTCTGAACTTTCCTGAGCACAAATCTAAAAAGGTTTTACAAATTGATTATCATTTATCATTTTATATTTAGTATTTTATTGGGTCACATGGGACCAAACAATAGAAAATCCAAATTTGTGAGGAAAAAGTATAAAATTACAGGAAACCAATATTCAGACACTTTTTTGTTATTTAATATTCTTCAAATGAACACACACAATGTATTTGGACTTTGTACTTGTAAATAGGAACATAAAGGAAATTCATAGGTCTGTATAAAAATTTGTTAAAAATTAAATAAACAGAGCTGAGCTGAGCACGAGAGCAAACAAGCAACGCCAAGGTGCAGGACAAACACAAGAGATATAAATATTGAAATGGATAAGGAACACCTGAGAACAATTACAGGTGTGACTACTGATCAGACACAAGTGAGGGGCATGACAAAAGGGCGGACCGAGTGAAGAGCAGGAAAAACAAAACGTAAACATGAGAACATGTTCAGAGACAAGTTGGAAAAAGAAACTGCTGGGCAGGTTATTTTAGGTATCATGATAATAGACATTACGCTGGGAAGATTTCACACAACAAATAGCACCCATGTTGAAGGTGAAGAAGCCTGCTTTTCATGTTGTTTAACTCTAAAATAGCAAAAGCTACAGTCATCATGCTCCATGCAGAACCCCTTTGCAAAAAATGAAGCATAGAGACGAGGTCTAACATTTGCACATGATCATTTAGACTAATCAGAACTCTTTTGGAACAATGTTCTCTGGTCAGATGAAACAAGAATAGAACTGTAATACAGAGGAGGGAGTGTCATGGTATGGGGCTGCTTCTCTGCAAACGGTATTGGGGCGTTATACATCATCAAAGGAAACATGAATAGAGTGATGTACTGACATATTAGAGAAGAATTTAGGGAGAAGATTGATGTTTCAACAAGACAACAACCACAAACATATATCTCAAGACTTGTTTCTAAAAAAGAATGTGCTTGTATGGCCTCTAGCCACTCTTCTGACTTGAATCCTATTGAAAATTTATGTCAAAAGGGACCCTTGAAATCATAGGGAATTGAAGATGGTTTGCCAAGAGGAATGAACCACAATCTAACCACAATGCTGCAAAAAGCTAATTATTTCATACCGCAGATGCCTCTAAGATGTAACTTGCCAACAATGGCTTTGAAACAAGGTACTAATATTATTTATTGTTGGTGTGACGAATCAAACAGAATCAGACGTTGCAGATATAAATTACAAAGGAGGCTTTACTAGTAGAAGCGCAGTGCAAGTTCGTGGTCAAAAAACAGGCATGGGTCAATTCCAGAAAGCAGATGAGAAACAAAACAATAAACATAACACCAGGCAAACAGTCCAAACAGGAGAAGGCAAAAACGTGGTCAAAAACACAAGCAGGGTCTAAGTCCAAAATCCAAAATCAGGCCAACAATCAAAAGGGCTGGGCAAAAAGACAAAATCAAAGAACAAAGGCAAAGGTCATACACGATAACCAGATACAGGAATAAACGCTCAGTAGATCACGAAAACAGATGCAATACTTTGCAAGTTACCTATTCTAAACCCCGGGCTTCAGTTAAACACTAGAGTAGTCATATGATCAAAACACGGGTGACATTCATTAGTATTCTGGAGATTGCGAACGCGGATAGGACTTTGAAGTCAGGTGGGGAGTCATGTGACCTCCCGGAGGGTTCTGGGAATTTGAGTCCGGCTGTCTGTCGTCGTTGGTTGGCTGGGTGGAAGTCAGGTGATCTCCCAGAGGACTCTGGGAGATCGAGTCCGAATCCAACGAGGCGCTCGGCGGATGCGTCACAGTTGGAGTCTGAATACTTTTCTTTTTCCTAATCAATTTAGTCTTTTATACGTATCTTAGTTTAGGCTTGTGAACACTTTTTGTTCAAGTACAAGATCAAGACATTATGGCCTTGTTTACACAGGCCGCTTAAATCTGATTTGTTGGCACAGACTGAACGGCAAAAAGCCACATAAATCTGGCATTTCCCAGTTGGATTCAAACCACATCTGCAGATGGTTTCAAATCTGATTCAATTTGGATTCCTGAATATGTGACCAGTAGCATCTCTGGCACAGAAAATCTGGCACAAAAAAAATGTAGGCTCGTCAATGAAACTACACACAAACCTGATCCAAACACAAACGCACTCCATCAATGAAATCACACATTCACAAATTAACATAATGTGGTGCAGGAGTTGGTGGAAGTGGAAACAGGAATATGAGTGATATGGTAACGGCATTCGATCTTACAAAACCTTGTTATACAGCATCGCATTACAAATCCAAAGTGATCTAGCAGTATATGATCATTGTGGTCTGCAACTACATATCCAAAGCAACATATCAGAGCAGGGAACACACTGCTTTCTGGGCATAATGTATAACACGCTTTGCAATACTGCAAAATGACTCATCAGTGACGCTCACTGTTCAAAAAGAAAAGATGCACGATGATCTTTCATCTGGGCAAGCTCGTCAAAAACAGGCACAGAGTGTTTTTAACTGCTCACTTGGTTAGTGGAACGCTGTGGGGCCAGCCCCATGCTCATCAAACCAAGACTGCTAGGAGAAATAGGTAGCCTACTGGCATTTACACAACAGGTACAGGAAGATATTTGGAATGTATCGGACAGCCCTACCACTGTCATATGTAATAAACGTGCAACAATATTAGTTACAGAGAAAAAAATATATATATATATTAGTTGTTATACTGAATTATTGATCATGTCGTGCACTGCTCCAGTGCCAGGACACCAGCCCCTACCGTAGAGACGTCCTTGTATGTGACCCAATTTGATTGGTCAGATTGGATTTCATGTGGTTTTTTTTTTTCATTAATTGGGGGCAGCAGCTTATAACATCAGAATGCGTGACAAAGCAGTAGTGCATATTCACATATTACAACTTAAACACAGAGAGTAGAAGTTTTAAACAGCCAGTTAGGTAACACATTACTTTCATTATATGTTGTAGTTTACAGTGACTGTTTCATTAAAAGATTTGAATGGAAAGCCAGTCTCTGAATAGTACTGCTACAGCTAAAAGCTTGTTAGCAGTCTTCAAAGCAGGTCAGCTGAGTTATCATCATGTCCTGTTTATGCTGTTAACAAATACTGAAATGCTGTTGACTAAGCCTGACTATACAAATCAGATTGTTCACTGAACAGTTGGTCTAAAAATTCAGATACAAGAAACAAATCTGGTTTGCCCTGCAGTGTAAACAAAGCCCATGTGTGTAAATGGAAGTGGATAAATTCTGTAGTTTTTTTTTCCCTTATCATACTAAATATACTGTTGTTGGTCATGAATGTGTTAACTTGAAACAACAACAGCAACCTTAACAACAACAAAATCAACGGCACCATCAGCAGCAACAATAACAGATGAGAGCGGAATGTGTAATCTTGTGTAATGAGGGGGTTCTAACTGAAGGGTTTGACCTTTTGATTGGAGGTTGTATGGGAGCTTGTGTGTGAAGACTCATGTAAAGATCAGTGGCATTTTCTGCCACATAGATTGACCTTTCCTCTCTTGTTTGCAGTGCTAGGAGGCAAAATGTCAGTTGATATTTCCCTTTCCCACTCATTGCCCTTTGGCATCATCTTACAAACATAAAATCCCACCCTAAAATGCATCACTTAAGCTTCTTCACACTTACCTTCACTACACAAGAAACAAAAAAAGAAAAGATCATTGCGAACAACTAAGATTTATATGATCCAAAACCACCAAATCTTCCCCATAGACTTGCTGTATAACTAAATCTTTTGGTGGGAGCAGGTTTGGTGTAAAGACATATCATTCCACAAGACTTTAAAGCTTATCCTAAACAGCTCTGCAATGGAAGCATCCCTTTTTATGCTGGGAATAATAGTCTTTTGAAAAGCAATATCCAATTTCAGCTCTCTATGCTCTAATGTATTTTTATCGGAAGGGCTGCAGATCTATTCCCACTTCTCCATTTGAAATTGATGTAGGAAGATTACCCTTCTTCCTTTTATATTCATGATTAAAGAAGTTCTACTGAGAGTTTATAGCTTCTGTTGCCTTTTTAGGAAGGGTTTGTGACGGTTGTGAAGAGGCATTGTTTGAGAATGTCCTCAGAGGCAATGGAAGACTAATCTGGAGCTGAGAATAGCCTAGTGTGGCTGCTCTCAGGGTTAAGAGTGGAGAGGGAATGCACAATAGCACACATATCAAACCTTCTTTCATTTCATCTGCTATTAAGATCAGTATATATACAGTACTGTGCAAAAGTAAGAGACCACTCTTTATTGATTAAATTTTCAGTCAAAATGGCCAAGATATTCATTTTTCAGGAAACGTCTCTGAGGAGAGTAGATGTAAGATAATCTACTTGCATAAGGAAGACGGAAGTGAAAAAAACTTTCATTAAAAGACCTGGTAGACC